TGGACTTAAACTCCCACACACGCAACAGACATTAATCAAACTTTTGAGATTACATAAAGGAATTTTTTAAAACTCATCTGCAACTTTCTTCCACGATCAGCATAACACAATAATCCTGCAGTTTCTTTATTTATCTCTATGTACCGATATCCTGAAGTTGATGAAGATAGAGCTGTACCACTATTAAAATAACACCTTTATAGATGATTTCATATATTCCCTACAGCAGATTTATCTCGAGTGGATATTGTATTCGATATTTTTATGAAATATTTCCATTGGCAAAATCTTTATAACAATTGGATGTAACAATTTCTTAATGTACAGTAAATATTTGCAAAAACTCATAAACCCATTTCTTTGATTTTTTCAGACAGAGAATATGGCATCTTATTATAGTTCCTATGAGAAGGATGAAGGCCGATATCCTTGTGTCAAGAGAGTGTATGTAGGAAAAGAACATGTAGATTTCTCGTACCAATTTGTCAAGGACAGCAGGAGCAGATATAACATTTCATTAGGCCAAGATCAGGAGTACATCAAAAAGGACAGTTCTAGCAAACAAATTGTAAAAGATATATCTAAGAAGTTAATTGGGGATCCTAAAAAATATATAAATTATTATCACTTGCACGGCGCATGTTTGATGGTAAATGCATTGTTTGATATTATTCGTTCTTAGTTTGTAGAAATCAAATGTAATATAACTTTGTTACCATATTTTGTAACATTCGGCATGTTTTGACTTTTTTAATACAGCAATCTGGTGGTTTCAAAATCTCAATATCCTCCTGGCAGGAACAACCACGTGTACCATCATCAGATGAACCAGACGATGATAGCAGCGTTTTTTATAATTATATTGGTAAGATAACAATTAAATTGATAAATATTGTTAAAGAATATATGTTTGTGTTCAGAACAATTTATAATATAATTTACCATTAATTTTGAAGATCTCGAGTTTGATAAAGCCGTATATCCGATCAGAGTTTCTATATATGAAATGTATCGTCCTGGGTATATCACTCAAATTTGGGCTCACAATTCTGAAGAAAATCGGTGGTTTCCATTATGGAATGGTAAATGTCAGACTCCTGTACCAGAGGATTCACGGCTATTTTCCCCGCCTTTGCAGTTTTGTGACTTCAAAACCAAAAGGCTTAGATTAAAATTTACGTACAGTTTTCTGTATTATGAGACAAAGTTAGCAGCTGTGATGCTTATCGGTACATCAAAATTAATCCTTTCTAAAAATACGGAAGGAATTTTCACTAGTATATTAAAGAATGTGAAGGGCCAACATTTGATCACCGATAATTTAACGCCTATTGATAAACGTGCACACAGGGATATAAGGCGTCTCCGAAAAAATTTTTCTTACTACTGTACCATTTATACGAGGTATTATAATCACTAACGTTCTAAATAATATTTAACCTTTTTTTATTTCCCATAATAATGAAAGAAAATTTGTTCCAACCTGGGCAGCCACTTGCATTCGAATTATGCACGGATTAGAAAATGTTCCAAACTTTCTTTAGATAGTTCCAAGAAGCTCACACATTGCGGTTTTTCTACTCTGCCTGTAAAGTATTTTTTTTAAATTTATTTATTATAATAATATTTTTTTATATAAATAAAGTTACTTCATATATTGAAATTTTATATTTTATGGTTACAGGATGAAATGATACTAAAAATATTAAAGTACTTGGATATAAGGTCGTTGTGCCATATGAGCACAATGAATAAACGTCTTAATGACTTAACACGAGATGGTTCTCTGTTTAAGTGCTTGAATTTAGTAAATTTGCGCCACATGTCTTCTATGCATATAGATAATATTATATCATACTTTACATCTAGATGTAAATATTTGCAAAAGTTGGATATTGCATCAAGCGATATTTTCTCTTTGGAATTAGAAAATCTTCTTGAAATTTGCAGTGAGCGTTTAACACATTTACGATTACGCAACTGCACATTGTGTAGCGCTGTTTTAGATGACATTGCGGTATTTTGCAATAATTTGCAAGGTATAATATAAGTTAATTTCTTTATCGTGAGTAAATTGTATGACTAATTATATGTATATATCTTTCTTTTTTAGTATTGGATCTCAGTTGTTGTATTTTTGAAGATTTACTTGATGAATCGATATTGCCTGCAGATATTACACTTTGTGTTTGCAAAATATTACAAAGAAATCCTCGAATACGTGAGTTAAATTTGAGCTCTGGAAACCCGCCATTAGAAGATTTCTTTTATGTCTACCTTAATGTGGACTCAATTGCCATACAATTGAGGGATTCTTGCGCAGACTTGGAAATACTTAATATACTTGACTGTTCAATTACATCGCTAGGTATTGATGCTCTAGCCGAGTGTAAAAACTTACGGAAACTGAGCATTGAGAATGTTTTGTACGTTTGCCATATATATTTTTTTAAATACATATCATACAAATTCTTTATAAAAATTTGTATATTTACATCTCTTGCAAGCATCACGAAACAACTATGGTGTTTTTCCTATTTTGATTAAAAAATCGTATTAGTAGCATGACTTTTGTTACAGAATCGATGAATCAATTGAGCCAATCGGTGAGGATAGCTTGCGTAGATTGTTTTCCGCCTGTCAACGGTTGGAAGAAATTAAGTTGGAGAATTTCCATGATAATGTCGGCGAATTACTGACTCTGTGTAAAAACTTAAAAGAAGTGCATTTAGAAGTGTTACCTCTAAACGTGTTAACACTTCCCTTGCAGTGTCCAAAATTGCAAAAGATTTATTTTGTGGAAGGTGACGAAGAATTAATTCACCGGATGGAGCAAGAATATCCACATGTGTCCTTGTGTTAATTAGAATATTAACATAATTTTTCTATATTGTACATGTACGCAGAAGAGGGATTGATGTAATGGCTGCGTAATTTTCTCTCACAGCGGAACAGTCTAAGTTATCTTTCACAGATTTTGATAGACTTTGAATATGTTGTAGAAATATAGATCAAAAATATGGTTTAACTTTCCACGTAATCTCAACTATTAAAAGTTGAAATAGTCTCTTAAAATTAATTTATGAGTGAAATTTCCTTATCCCATTATGCAATTTGTGTGAGAGATGAAGACAAGGTATATTATATTGTATAAATTAATATAATAAAATTGGCTCAAATATGTTAAACACAAATTGGAGGAATAAAGGACTACGAGCCGTAACAGGGTGTAGTGTGTAAATATTTTATTCTAAATTTATTTTATATTATACTGTGTTGCTGCTATCAACAAATATTATTTGCAAAGTTCTCACTACATCGAAATAATCGCGAAACGTGTGAAATTATCGACATTTAACTGTCGACCGAGCCGTATCGATACGATCTGATAGAATCGACATCAAACCGACATTGATCCGATGTATCATTTCTCACTGGGGAAAACAATTGTTTATTGAAAGGACATATAAAAGTGTAATTATTTTCTCGTTTTATCTATTTTTCTTTTTTCGTTTTCTCTATCTATTTCTCTACCCGTTGTCAGTAAACTATGTGACGAAGAAAACAACTCAGATCTCCTATCTTTCTGCTTAATTGTCAATAGGAATGTTCCGTTAGACAATGTACCCACCCTCGTACCACAGTACATTCGCTAAATATTGGAAGAATACAATTAATTTTGGACCAATGTTTAATCAATATTTGATCAATGCAATGTGCTACTGGTGCAGCGAAAATGACTCGTCGATAGATAACGAAACGATGTATTTTCACTGTCGATTTTACTGTTTCTACGTCGATTCGACATCATTTCTATCGACGAGTCGTTTCTCGCTGGATTGTGATTGGCCACATGTAGTTAGTCACAACGACCTTAGAACACATATATGATATGGAAGGGGAATAGGGAATTGAAATGTGTCCGGAGGAAGCGAGAAAGAAAATCGTAGTGGCCTCTCTCTT